AGTCACTGATTCACACACACACACACACACACACACACACACACACACACACACACACACACACACACACATATATATATATATATATAAATGTGTGTGTGTGTGTGTGTGTGTGTGTGTGTGTGTGCATGAATACATTAGAGTTTATAAGTAAGCCATATACATACATTACCTGCACATGTGTTATGAGAAGCGTGTTTTTATACATAGAATCTACAATATAGATAAAAAGCCTTCTAGTGTAATACTGTATTAACAAAGTCATACACAGAGAACAAGAGGTAGAACTAGATACGTTTCTGTACCTCTTCCTTCTCCATTTGAGTGTGTGTGTGTGTGTGTGTGTGTGCATGAATACATTAGAGTTTATAAGTAAGCCATATACATACATTACCTGCACATGTGTTATGAGAAGCGTGTTTTTATACATAGAATCTACAATATAGATAAAAAGCCTTCTAGTGTAATACTGTATTAACAAAGTCATACACAGAGAACAAGAGGTAGAACTAGATACGTTTTTGTACCTCTTCCTTCTCCATTTGAACATGTAAACCGCGTTAAACCATGACAACCATTGACGATCTTTCTATTTCTTTATTTCAATTTTTATCGCTTGTAATATTTCTTTTTTAATGTAAAATCAATTAATTATTGGTGCGAGTCGTAAGAATAGGTAGGAAAGCGCTGACCATGCACAGATACTAGTCGGAGCCTATATCGTGTACACCGGAAGTTTAGACGGTTGCTCCGGGTGAACGAAGTAAAGATTGACAGCGTCACCTAACGCCAAAATTATTCCTCACCCCCTGACTGTACCCTGTTAGTTCCCCCCTCTACTCATCCATGGCGTTTAGCGCTAGTATTGATGTTGAGGGTGCAACACAGCATCTCCGGGATATCCTGAAGCTCGACCGTCCTGGTAACAGTACTGGTGAGTTTGACCGTGAATGCAAAGTGGAGGCGCCAGTCTAGGCCGCAGAAGCTAATGAAACGCTAGCCAAAAAGATTGATGCCGATCTTAGTATGGCATGGGCACGTAGTTTCAAACAAAAAGGACTTGATTGTTGAATTAACAATACTGCGGAATAACACAACTGCTCGTGACTGTGTTTTTGACGTTTGGAGATGTTAGTTTCATCTGAAAATCTTTATATTTTCTTCACTATGCCCCGCTAACCGAATCGTCTGTTTGTGGCGTAAGCTTTTTAGCTAAATCGGAAGTGAGCGTCTATCCTGCGTTTCTGTTGCCAAGGTATTCGCATCGCGAGGTAATATTTGTCGAAATTATATATATGTATAAAATACCCGTCGATAGAGCGAATGACATGTTTTGTGTCGGCAGCTGCGATCGTATTAAACGCTAAACTAGAGCGTATTATAAGGTTGTTTTTTAGATGAAAATTAAATCATCAACAATTTGCAAGATAGAAATATGTTCATTTCAGTGTTGACCCGCTTTTGTAAAACTAAAGGTAGGATTTGTTTGCATCAGTGCAAGGCATGTTGGAAAAGTTGGGGTGTATATCGAACATTTAAATTCCCCATGGAGCAATTTGTGGCGCAGCAAGCAAGATGGAGAGAGACAACAATGCACAAACACAATCAACAATAGCAATACAAAAAAGCTAAAAAATATGAAAAAGGAGCTCAAAGGAATTCATAAAAATTAATTAGAAGACAGACTGAAAAGATGACTACAGTAAGTCCAGTGTCGCTTGAAAAATGTTAAAAGGACTCGGAAGTAACTTAAGGAGGTTAAAAAGACTGAAAATTGGCTAAACACTCCCAAGATTAATTAGGGTTGTTTAAAAGGCCAATAGCCACAGGGAATCCAGGACTTTTTTAACCTCCCTATTTTACACCTGGGCATGCAGAATCTATGACTAGAAGGAAGCAATTAAAATTCAAATGCAAGGTGATGAGTAGGATGAAATCTGCCGTGCTTTCTTGAGTGACCTTGTATAAAAGGTTGATGTCCACTGGTGAAGTGTCAATGGTATTTATATGTCCCTTCACAGTGCTATTTTTGCGTGATCAACTAAACCAACAGATAAATGCAAACTTAAGAGAGTCAATAAAACAGTCGTAAAACATCCATCAATTTTCTAATCCGCTTATCCTCACAATGGTCGCAGGCGTGCTGGAGCCTAACCCTGCTGTCTTCGGGCAGGAGGCGGGGGTCAGCCTTAACTAGTCGGCAGCCAATCGCAGGGCACACATAGAAGGACAACCATTCACGCTCATAATCACACCTAGAGACAATTTAGAGTGTTCCATTAACCTGCCATGCATGTTTTTGGAACGTGGGAGGAAGCCTGAGTACCTGGAGAAAACTCATGCAGGCACGGGAGAACATGCAAACTCCACTCACGAAGGTCGGAGATGGAATCGAACCCTGCACATCTGGACTGTGAGGCGGACGTGCTAACTAGTCAATCACCATGCTGCCCTGAATAAAACATTTAATATGATATAATAAGGCAGTTGTGATTTAATTTGATTTTGACTATACAGTTTGTAACTCGATTCGCTGTTGATTTAATAGCAAGTAAGAATACACAAATTGGATTCAAATTTGACACATTTTCACCTCAAAGATTTTCGGAGTAGGGCTTGGCATTGTGAATAACCTTGCGATTTGATTTCATTCTGATTCTTTAGGTTGCAATTTGATTAGATATAATTTTTTTTGCTTGGATATCGTTTCAGTCAGAAGTAAAACTGCCCAAGTTGGAGTAGATTTGGGCATATTTGAAATATTTGACCCGGACATGTAAATATAAATGATATATTATTAAATTTTTTATCAATAAAACATTTGATAATACATATTTGCTTGTAACTTATTTGTGCATATGAAGTAAAAAAGTAAAAAACGTGAAAGTTGTGTCTCGCACTATAAAGTACAAACTTAATTCAGCAACTCCCCAATCTCCAAGCCGTCAGGGCCGTTATTGGAAGCTGACTGTGTTGGATACATGTTAGTGCCCATAGACCGCAATAATACTGTCCTACATTGTTTTTGTTTCACCGCGCTGTGTCTGTCTGCTTTTTGTGCTGGTGCTGCTGCATGACATAAAACTGGTTTACATTGAGCCATGTATTCTGATTAGAATTAATCCGAATGAACAAACGGACTGAAATTGCTCCATGTAAACACCTCAGTCAGAATAAAAAGGCCTAATCCGAATGGAATTACATTCGGGTTCACAGGGGTGGTGTATTCCATTTGCCAATCCAAACAAGCATCATGAAAACAGTTTCATCACAATAACCAAGCTGTGTCTGTCTGTGCATGCTCGATCTTGACGTAAATGCGTAGTGACGTCAGATAGGAAATGGTAGCGTCTTACCTGAGCTCATTTGTGACGGGACAACTTGTTTTAAAGTATCTATAACCTGTTTTTTATCAAGATGTTTCTGTCATAACGGTGTTAAAATGATCACAACCACTGTGCTAAATACACAAATTAACTCCCATCTCGATGAATCACGTGACGTTTACATCGAGCTCTGTGGCTGATCCAATTAATGGATTAGAGCATGTAAACGGCAGATCGGGAAAGACGACATCACTTTTAAACAGGTGACCGGGATCATCATTCGGAATGATTGCAATTACAATGACAAAAAAGTCTCCATGTAAACTCGGCTACAGTAAGTCCCCGTAAATTCTCGACAATCACAAGTTGACATTTGCATACCTGAGAGACATGGGAGAATCAGCAAGTTTGTTGTGTCAAATGCTTCTTCCGTGCCGCCTGGCACGCATTCCTGGCTACTTGTGCGAACTTGATTTACTATACATGGAATCAAACAGCCAGAAACGCGAAGTTTGTATTCGGGCTGACCACAGCATCAGAGACGCTCTCTCTGCTGACTTCAACCACTCCAAAACCGTTGGCGTTAATTGGTTTGCAGTTTCGGGATGGCAACCTATGACATCTTTTTTCATGTTAGTATTGCGCATCTCGGTTTGAGTGTCTGTAGAAGCTTTTGGTTTTCCATGCCACTTTACTGTAAAAGGCTCTTGTGTATGATTGTGGCCAGAGCTTGGTGGAAGTTGGCAAGCACATTTACAGGAAATCCAAAATGACTTTGCACCTCAGATTTTAAAAGCTGTTTGCTGTTCCAATACACTTGCTCACAATAAAAAAAAAAGGTCTTTCGTACTATCTTCAAATTCATCTGTGGTCCATGAAAATTAAATGCTGTAATTTCCTAACAATGTATATTTTTCAGACACTTTGAACTAGGGCTGAACTATTAATTGCATTTGCACTATAATCGCGATTTGATAAAATGCAATTTGATTGAGTGGGGAACTCTGTGTGTCTGATTGTGTGCCTGATAAATATGAGTGTCTATTCTAACAGATGACCTGTCGTGTGCTGCACATGTAAAATAAAGTACGTGAGCGGTGACCATTTAAAACACATCAAATCTCATCAAGTGATTTGGAAATTGAAGCACCTTGCTAAATTGTCCTATATTTTGAAGATAACTACATTTGTATGTGGCCATATGTTGCGCCGTCCGATGAAGGTAGACGAAATGAGTATTGCTCATCATTTTATTAACGTGCCGCCGCTTGTGATGCATGCTGCTCATTTTTAAAATCTGAAAATGTTACTTTGTACATGTAAATTACAGTTTAAAAAAACAAAGTGTTCATCTCATTCATAGACTAGTTTTCAATCTACAGTGAAATCAAAGGAGTTGGCCTCAGTGTTCCAAAACCTTTGCATTGGAGAGGATGTTGTAAAACTATCCAGTTTTGTTGGAAAAAAAACATTTCTGGTACACAATGTTGATGCGAGGATATGCGGTCATCTCCAACCATGAATTTTTAATTTCGGTGGAATAATTTGTATTTTGTGTGTATGGTTACCCATTTTTTAAGTCATAAGAAAACCATTTGAGAGAAATACATTTCATTCCTTAGATGCAGAATCAGGTGATGGGCAAAGAAGGTTGTCCTTTAATGGAGAACTGAACGGGCTATTGGGAGCAGCAGGTCTTCTCGGAGGCGGCGATTTAACATCAGACACGACCAGACCTCTCTCTGCAGTGAACAGTATTGCTCAGGATATTCAGATAATGTTTGTTTCTTATTCACTTTTGCCACTTGAAACATTTGTATCCAAGTATTTTCATTTCTTTCTATTTTTGCATTTCTTTATCACTGAAAATGTGAGGTCATTTTTGTTGTCTTGAGTTCTAGATGAAATAATTTTATTTCAATGACTACAATTTCAGTCGCCTTTCTGGTGATGATCAGTCTACCTGTATCCCCATCACCTCGGACAATGTGGAGATTGTGGCGAGTCAGGAATCAAGCATCAATAGCAAGGCTCGAGGCAGCAACATGGTAAGATTGTAAATATTTCTCCTTCTCCCCCTGCCTGTTGTTATTTTAGTGAGTGGCAGGATACAAGAATAGATTCACAGTCCTCCATATAATGCTGTCAATGAGATTTTATATTGAGTGCACATTCATAGGTCACAGTTGTATTTAGAACATGTTCACAATTTTACCTCTACAGCTCCTCAAAATGGTCTTTCTCGCAACTCTTGCATGTCTATCCTGAGATGATGAATATAAACATTCTCTATATCAAAGAGCAAGAAGTTTTTAAATAATAAGGAGAATTTAGTGTTGGAGGAGAATTTCAGTGCTTGATTATTGCGCCTTCACGGCAGCATGTTTGGAACAGTAATGGAATAACTACAATGTTTGACTTTTGGCACTTGTCTATTCAGGTAAAAGTAAACAATCAATATATTTTTTTGCCTGGTTAACGATACAGATGACAAAACAACAGATTTCCACTTAATGAATGGCCGACTGGTTTTCATTTTTGGATAATCAAAATTTTTAAACTTGACTTTAAACTGTGCATATGAGCACACTATTGTCCTATAGAAACAGGAGTGAGGTCTGAGATGAATCCCTTCCCATATTTTGGTCTATGAGACGCAATTATGTCAAAACCACAGTATCAATTTCACCCTCTAAAACAGCACATTTGCATAAGCCTAGTTTGTTAAAAAATTATCAGTAGTAAGGGCAGGCTATCAGCATCAAAGTGTGCAGAGTCATTTTTGCCTCATAATACTGCCTTTGAAAAGCGTCTCTCGCGGGCCTATATGGGGCACTTGCTTAGCGGCTATCTGTCAGCCACAAACTGGAGCCGCTGTTAAATGCTGCCAACAGATGCTGTATAATACAATATCGGCATAATTATAGAGTTATTTTTAACATCCTTAAGCAGTGATTGAACTTAATTTCAGGAAGACTTGTGTTGTTGATGTCTGTGGCACCATTTTGTGACAGCAATATAAAGTGGTGCCAACTACAGTCACTGGGTATACAGTGATAATTATACAGTTTGAGCCCTGCGAGTCCCAGGGACTCGCTGATCAGAAAAGTATGAGTCCCATTATGCATTTAGAGAGTCCCAAATTTGAATTCTTAAATGGTCTACTTATTCAATTGCATATGACAATAACACAAACAACAACAATATACATTGATAATAGGTTTATTTCTTAAAATAAACAAATGCTGCAAAAATTTAAATAATTCAGGCATACAAGATTTGCTGAGAAATAGGTTCTTATTTCATCCCATGGTTCAGTCTCTGAGTTCATAAATTCTCCTCTCTTTACTCTGCTTCCAATGATGCAAGGCTTTCTCAAAGTCAACTTCTTATCGGAAAAAACTATCCAACTTTAGCTGCTTCCTCTGTGATATCTCCGCAATAAACTTTCGCAACACTTGTTCGCAACACTTGTTTTAACGTTACACAACTTGGCAATCGTCTGCCGATCTCAGCAATCTTGTCTCGTAGAACGGAAATCTCGTCACGCGAGATTACTTCACGCGAGATCAAAACAACAATGGCGGCGATTGTCAAACTGCGATCGTTGCTGGAAAAAAAGATGTACCGTAGTTTTTTTGTTTTGACTGAGAAATTTCCTTGCGTCCCAAAAACGCACATTATTTGGAACTGTGCGTCCCGCGGGAAAATTCCGCATCTCGGACGCAGGACGCAGAGGTAATGAGATGGCTGGGTATAGGAGTCAATAGACAGCGTCAGCCGTCACACCGCGACGCACTGCCGGGAAAAATTTGTGTGCAGTAGTCTTTTCACACAAGTCTGGCTCGAACTGCATTAGGGTAGAGAGCAATAAATTATTAACAGAAAATAATAATAATAATGGGGAAATGGGAAAATCCCCAAAAGTTTTCACCACGAAATACTGAGTTTTGAGATCTACGCCGCAATAAATTATTAACAGAAAATAATAATAATAATGGGGAAATGGGAAAATCCCCAAAAGTTTTCACCACAAAATACTGAGTTTTGAGATCTACGCCATATGTCTTTTTGCAATCACTTTAGCTTTCATAATGGACTATGTTTTTATTGTTAAATTGATTTCTTTACATAAAAGAAAAATAATTATTTGCATGATGATTTTTAGAATTTTACACTCACCATCACTGTGAAGGGGGGTTCAATGAATACCATGATATGAATTTCAGGCCATATTGCTAAGCCTTTGGGCCTGTTAGCAGTTAAGTTTCAAAAGTATGGAAAAAATGTTTACATATGAACTCATATTTATGTACAATGAATTTGAAATATAAAACATGTTTATCCCGTATTTTCACGACCATACGGCGCACCATATTGAAAGGCTTAGTGTCAGTTCTGGGTGCTATTTCAAATGGTGAATTACCTTTTTTTATTTTTTTATTTTTTATTTTTATTTTTTTTCAAGGTGAAGATTCAGCCTGTTGCCAAATATGACTGGGAGCACAAGTATCATTATGGCAGACTTATTGCTGTGTCAAATTCCTTCATGGCATATGCAATTAGAGGTGAGAGTCCAAGATTCAACTTTTTTTTAAATGCCAAATATAAATAACCATTAAAAAGGACAAATAATAAAAATTCTTTTGTTCTGTCTCAGAGCCGCTGCACACTGAGCGATGCATAGTCAGACACTGCGCGGGTTTCTACCACAAGATTTCATTTATGACCGAGTCTCAGCCACTAGTTTTGCGGTGAATGTGGCGATGTTGCTAATTATCCCAATAAAAATGCACAAAAGCTTTTACACAGGCACCGAAGCTTTTACACAGGCGAAATTTTAAGCACATGAGACAGGGCTGCTCGTTCGCAAGTAATAAAAATACAGTATATACAGTTCATGTTGTGTTTTACAACACCACTTCACTCATTCAGTACTAGCCAATTCTGGGCCAAGTCTGAAAAGATGTTTAAAAACGTCTTTGGGAGTGAATGAGTTAACCATATTTACACCTACTTGTGGTAAAAATGTATGCAAGTGGTATGCACCTTATCCTGTCCATTCAAGTGAGTGTGAGCGAGCTCAGCCTTTCGAGATATACCGAGTGAGGCCCTTTATCGTGCTCATCCTCTTTTTGTAGGAGCATGCTTAATCCTTGACTAACACTGTTTTTATGGATTAAAGTGATATAATACAACATATTGTAAGGGGAGCCTCGGAATGTGATCCCGACCAACTGTTATTTTTTGCGGTGGATGGGTCCCAGTCGAGTAGAGAAGCGTCGCATTGTGTGCAGCAGCCCTTTTGCACTTGCACTATGAAGTATAAACCCTGGCAAAAATTATGGAATCACCAGTCTCATAGGATGTTCATTCAGTTTCAAATGGCAGCGTTCTGGCTTTAGGTGACATTTTTAAAGAATGTCAGTAACAGTTACATTTTTCGACCAAGCACAAAGAAAAAAATATGGAATCACTCAATTCTGAGGAAAAAAATTATGGAATCAACCTGTAAATTTCTGCTCGTTAGCCTGCAGTTAAACAGAAGTGATCACAACTTGGAGAGCTGTTTCACACAGTTAACTGACATGAATTACAGCTCCAAACTGAGACATGTCATGTGAAACAAAGGAGAGCATTATCAAACTTCTTTAAGAAGCTAAATCATCACACAATGTCGCAAAAGATGAAAAGTTGGTTGTTCACAGTCAGCTGTGTATAAAACTTGGAACCGAATTTAAACAATATGATTCTGGAATAATTTTTTAAACCCTGCTTGGTCCAAATAACTGTTACTAAGAGGTCTTTTTTCTTGATTTCTTTTAATGGTTCCTAAAGCCAGAAAGTTGCCGTTTTAAATGACTTTAGTTTAGTTTCATGTCTGCAATTGACTTTTTCCTACAGAATTTAAACAACTGACTGACGATCCTCTGAGACTGGTGATTGAAATTTTTTTGTCAGGGAATGTATCCATGATGCTCTAGATTTGTATAATGCAAGTTGCCGAAGCGTATTATTGCGGCAGATGTCTACAAATGTAATGTATAATGACTTGCATTCTGTGTGTGTTATTGTTTTCCATGATATCGTCTTTTCTATGACATCTTCCCTCAGGAGCCAACAACCAGGCTATGATACGCGTCTTGAGTGTCGGCACTGCAGAGCGTTGCTTACTGAAAGGCTTCACTGGTGCCGTCACAGATCTGGCTTTCGCCCACCTTGACTCGCCTCTGTTGGGTTGTGTAGATGAAGCTGGCAACCTAATGGTTTGGGAGCTCACATGTACCAGCAGTACAATACTGTATCCTTACTAAATTAATGCTAAGACAATTTTACCCTTTTCATTACATGTGGTGTTGACTTTTACATCAGTTTTGCCTTTTTGAAACGTATTAAGTAGCCATCACATTCTACAACAAACGTATTCTCAAAAATTCTTCTTCCATAACTACTTAATGGTATTAGAAGCACTCCATTGTCTTACACCGACAGAATTCAGTGCTAGTGATACGTTTGATCTTAAATTTTACCCACATACCTGTGATGTCGTGCAGACATGCACACACGAACCCCCAATAACTTTTACTTCATCGTGCTTTCCTTAATCCATAGCCCTAAGAGATCAGATAGTTGTTCATGTCCGAAGGCCACAGGACTCGCCACTGAACTCACATCGGCGTCTCATCTGGTGCCCTTTTATTCCAGATGAAAATGAAGACAACCAAGATGACAATAGCCAGACCTTGGCTCTTCTACATGAAGATAGGGTATCTGTTTAATATAAAAATATAACTTCGCCTGAAACAAATACCAAAGACTTCTATTAAATATAACATCTTCCACTAAAACTACCCGTAGGCACATCGGAGTCAGTCCAAGGCAGGGGTTCAAACTTAACTTATGTGGGAGTTACTGGAGATAGTCTGGGTCGCATCAAGTATTCCAAAAAGAAAAAGCACAACTAATCCAATCTTCAGCAATAATAGTACAGAACATGAATGGTACTTCAGAATGTGAACGAGATTGTGGCCCAATTCTTTCTGTCAGCTACATATACTGTACCTGGTACTTAATGTACTCCTCAAAATGTGTAGTTGAGTACTGGCACCTTACTTGAGGAGCACCACAGCTTTCTCTATGCATTCAAGACTTGTCTGTGTGCCCCCGTGCTCAACCAAGAAAGCATTCTGTCTCCTGTTTTTCTTGAAATTAGCTGCTCTCATTGCTAACCTTTATCTTCGCGGCAGGTTTTGAAAAGACATGCCTCGGACTGGGAGACAGGATATCTTTCCTTCCCATTTTTGCCACTTTAGAATTATGTTTTGCCAAAATATGTTATGAGCCTATGCTATGGTAGCCCATATGTGATTAAAAAAGGACAACACCATAAAAAAAAAAAAAAAACCTAACATTAAACTTTGTCAAGTTGGGGGCCGCTGCAAATGGTCCCCGGGCCTTGAGTTTGCGAACCCTGATCCAAAGACTCCATAATTAAACCAAAATACAGTTCACAAGTGAGTTTGTGCCTGGCAGATTATGTTAAGCCACTTAAATAACAAATACTTGTGACTTGGTGGCTGTGATGATCATTAAAAAATGGGGCGTGATCTGGCACATTGCTATCATCAGCATCAACATTATACCCTTCCACGACTGTATTTCAGGATCATGTGTCAGAATATGCCTTTAAACATATTTGTATTGTTTTTCATAGATGAATCTCATTTTTATTTTTCTTTTCTTTTCTAGGCTGAAGTGTGGGACCTTGAAATTTTGAGGGCCAACAATGCTATTTGGCCTATTTATGCCACAGATTTGAAAGAAGGCCTCATTACAGTGAAAGGATATACCCAGGTAAGACTTGATATACTAAGTACAAAAATAACGGTTTTAAAGGGGAAGTGAAGTCCCAAAACTTTCTTTACAATATGTTGTACGCGCTTCCACACGCTATTCTGACAAATATTGTGTTTGTGGAATACGGATTAAGCACAAAATAAAACTGTTTTTAATCCATCTTGGGGCCGTCAGCATAATGGGCGTCCGTTCGTATTGATGGAATGCCCACCTCTGGCAGCTGAGACGAAACCTTGGTTTAAAAGGGAAGTAGTCAAATAAAACATTGTCTTGAGAATAATATGTCTGATGCACCCCTATTAGTCTAAATATGCCATTGTGTTTAATATTGCATTTGTGTAATATGAATTAAGCAGTAAAATACACCTGTTTTTTTACCCATCTCAGTGGGTTGCCATTGTGCCACTTCCTGTTGACTGAAAATGACATGATTGCGCCTTAAGGGCTCAGCTTACAAATGTCTGATGACCAAAACCAGAAAAACAAGTGAGCCGTGAATCCATGATTAGTCGTTACATGAGCGGGTGGGTTTTGAATCTGGGCTCCGGCTTTTCTGTATGGAGTTTGCTTATTGTCTCTGTGCCTCTGTGGGTTTTCTCCCGATACTCCGGTATCTACATTTCCAAAGACACATATGTTAAATTGATTGAACACTCTAAATTCTTCGTAGACATGAATGTGACTGTGAATGGTTCTCGATTTGTGCCCTGCAATTGGCTGCAGACCAGTTCAGGGAATACTTTGCCGCTCACCCAAGGACGGCTGGGATTGTGTCCGGCGCCCTTGCGACCCTAATGAGGATAAGTGATTCAGACAATGAATGATATTGTAATTTCCCCCTTTGCGTAAAAATGAGACTGCGACGATCCTGATCCTAGGACCTGTATAAACACACTTACGCTTTTTACAAGTCGTTTGTTTTCAGAAACATTGACTACTCTACTATTATTAAGATGAAAGCAGATTCTCAATTTGTTTTGGTAACATACAATATAAAACATATTTTACTGTCCTACCAGCGTGTCAGTGAAGGTGCCCTATCTCCAGATGGAACAGTGTTAGCCACAGCCAGCCACGATGGATACATCAAGTTCTGGCAGATATATATAGAAGGGGGGCAGGACAAGCCAAGGTATGAAAGAAGAATGGATCCCTTACTTTGAAATTGATGTGCTGTCTGGTCCTTTCATACTAGAGCAGCAGGACGTCCTCTTTTTTTTTGTTTGTTTTCTTAATTAGATGTCTGCATGAACTTCGTCCACATGGTGGACATCCCCTTTCCTGCCTTCTCTTCTGTGACAACCACAAAAGGCAGGACCCTGAGTGAGTAGACACAAGTCGTGATTGCTGTGAGCAAATTGCATATCAACACAAATGAATCTATTGCTGTTTCATTTACGGAGTTACTCTGTTTCTTTCAATAGCGTTCCATTCTGGAGGTTTCTTATAACTGGAGCCGATCAGAACCAAGAATTAAAGATGTGGTGTACTGTTTCCTGGACTTGTTTACAGACCATCAGGTTATTTCTTCAGTCTTTCAGTTGCACTCTGGATTCACCCTCAGGCTTTGTTTGAAATTTCTATAGTTGTTCATAGATAGCATCTGGATTGGGCCAGTTTTTTCAAAAGCAACGCTTGATATTGTTACCATAGTGGGGTTCCATCCAAAACCCAGCCGCTGGGGGGCAGTGCCCTCCCCTGGGGGTGCACTGTTCCCCAGTGCCGGTCCCAAGCCCGGAGAAATGGGGAGGGTTGCGTCAGGAATGGCATCCGGCGTAAAACTTTTGCCAAGACGACCATGCGAATTGGTAGGACGGTTTACAGGGGCGGATGGAAATTACTGACTCACTGTGGTGACCCCTGAATAGGGAGGTGCCGAAAGGAGAAGAAGAAGAAGTGGGGTTCCATCCAAATGTTTCCAATATTTTAAGCAAATTTAGTGACAATGCGCAAAAAACCAACGTGCGTCTTATCCCTGTTTGAATTTATTATTTTTGCGAATAGTGAGAGGATACTGCACCCACTCTTGTCCCTACTCTGATACAATCTGGGGGGAACCCCCCCCCCAAAAAAAAAAACATCAATGAAATGAAAACATTTATGACACGTTTGCCCTTTCGTTGTATGAACACCCAACTTTGTCGAATTGCTTAAGCCTTTAATGTTTAGTGCTGTTTTGTAGATTCTCTCCAGATCCAGTGAATCTGACAGTTCTGCCTAGTCTTAAAGCAAGTTTGGACCTGTCTGCTGGGTATCTCATCCTTTCCGACGTACAGAGGAAGGTCAGTGCATTATTGGCAGCTTTTATGTTTATGTAATGTGTGGGTTAAAAAAAACACCTGCCATTTACATAACTTTCTAAAGGTTATTGTTCCGACTCAGGTGTTAGGACATTGATAAATACTCAGATGTAACACATATTCTGTGTTATTCATTCATTTATTCACTGAGAAAACACAAAAGTCCTGTACTTGACGTGAATGGCCAGGTGCAATATAAATATGGTGTGTTTCTAATTAATTGTAAAGTGATTCACCAAATGTAAACTGTTAGCATAATAAGGTGCAAGCAAAGATCATAATACTCTTGACTGTGTTTTGGCCAACATAGTTATCTAACTAGTGGCGTGGACCCTTTGCGAAATCGACCATGCCAATGTTTTTGAAAGAAAATCTCTGGTGATGTATGTCATTATTTTAAAAATTGTCAATCAAGTTTTAACAAAGTGGCTTGTCTACACTTTAGTACCTCTTCAGAGATCGAGACACGCACATACCTTGTATGCTGCATGGATAATTGAAGGACCTAGTCATTATTATAAAACTCATGTAAGTTGTCGATTGATCTTTTGCGACGTGAGTGTTTTTGCTCTAGTTGCTGGTTGGTGAATGACTACGTAAAATGCCAGATTGAGGAGAGAAAAAAAAAGCTTGATCTTACTGAGTGTGCTGGTTTGAATTCGGGGTCAAATTTTAGGAACTCTATCTGACTACTAATATTACTGCCTACGCTGGTTCTTCTTTAAATACTAATTTGCTATGGCTCCTTGCCAGGTTCTTTATGTGATGGAGCTGAGACAAGATCTGGAAAAAGGCAAGGCATCTTTCACTGCTGTGTCAGAGTTTCTACTCACCCATCCTGTGCTTAGCTTTGGAGTTCAAGATGTTGCCCAAAGCCGTTTGCGACACACTGAAGTTCTTCCTGCAGAGGAGGAGAGTGAGAGCACAACAACAGGTAAATTCATGAAGTCTTTGATGTTGTTGTTGGAGCGAGGAAGAAAGCAAACTATTGTCCCTTTATGATCTGGAGCAATTTTATAATCTGTCATTCATACACAGCGCAGTGATAATAATTGATTAATATTTTTCCTGTGAATTGGATTTCTTTCAGAGGGCGCTCAAGGGCCCACAGAGTCCAAATCTGGCATCCAGATTAAACTGTACTGTGTTCACACCAAGTGAGTTCCCGTACACTGATCACATTCTAGTATTTTGTACATACAATACAATACAATACATGCTGATTTATATAGCGCTTTCACAACAGTGGCAGCTGTAACAAAGCGCTTAACAAAACACTTAACATAAACTTTTCAATTAAGTTCAAGTTAAAAGTTTGGATCCAGTTCAATCAATAATGTTTAAAAAGTGTTAGTCTGTGCCCTCCTCAAGGGTTCTCATGCAGGAACAGGGAATATACTTCTCATCTCATTTTTCTCCGGCGGCAGGCTGTTTCTTGGGTGGGGGCTTGTTCTATACAAGGTGGTCTTGAGGCCTTTGGCCATTAAAACCTCACTGAAATAATTTTAAAAATGTTGTACAGCTAAATATTACAAAATGAATGTTTCTTAAATAAACTTATATACTGTATATTTATAGTCAATATTTATTGAAATTAATAATTTCTGATTTTAGGAGTCTGCAGGATGTTCAAATCTGGTTCCAGCCTAATGCGGGCTCCAACTCTCCAGGCATGCTCCATTCTGATCCTCCAGATGGTTTTGGTTGGTTTACGTTTTTCCACAATTATTAATGAATTGTTTTATTGTATGCACAACAGGTCCAGTAGTTAGTTACTGTCTCCTTTAACTTTCACCCTGTAATATCAGAGCAAGATAATTTATCAAAACGTGTGTGTGTGTGTGTGTGTGTGTGTGTGTGTGTGTGTGTGTGTGTGTGTGCGTGTGCGCGAGAGAGAGAGAGAGACAGAGACAGAGAGACAGAGACAGAGAGAGATAGAGATAGATTTGATTTGATTTGAGTTTTTAATTTTTACTCTACGGATTATGTCACGTATCTAACAGGGTTCTCAGCCCATCTGACAGACCAGAGTTCTGACAAGGACTCAGGGAGTGGCTCCCAGACCGACCTGAGCAACATAGCATCACTTCCTGCACCTACTGACTTCCTGTCAAATACTGCAAATGGCAATGGGCAAATGCCAAAATTGATGACTCCTGATGCCTTCATGACACTAAGCACTTCGGTATAAAGCTTTTAAAATCATGTTTGTTTTCTCTTTCGATCTTAACCCTGCTACACTTTATTATACGGGTGCTCTGATCAGTGTTTTATGCTGCCGATTTCAATACTGATCATTCATGAGCAAGATCTTCCGATCACTCTCGATTATGAGACCTGTGATACCGATCATATGGATTAGCTGTAAATGTTGTCTATTTATGGGTAGTGCTATTGACTATGTAACCTGGAAAAAAAAGAACCAAAAACAAAATCACTTATTTTAAACAAAACTTGCCGGCACAATGCAATAACTATTCAGTCAAAAGGAAAAAACTGAAGTTTATTAGCTTTTACACAATCTTTAACAGATTGAAATAATCAGACTGTCAACAGACTCATAGTGTAAAAGTCAAATAAAATTCCACAAACGTTGCCTGATCACATCATGTAAAGTTAATAAATAAGAGAGATACAGGTCAAATGCGGGCTACATGCACATAAACTATTCAATAAGTTCCTACATTGAAAATATTTGACAACTTGGCTTATTGTCTTGTGCATTGTCCTAAAAGGGCAACCTCCAAATTTTCATAATTTATCAAAGAAATTATTTAATTGATCTATAGTTTAGTATGTAAATTAAATTTTTATTTTTAAATGAGATAATTACGGTCAAACAGACCTTGGATAGAAAAACAGCCCAAATGAAACTGAAGGGCATGTGCTTTGAATGAGAACATATTGAACATTTTCATAGGCAAAATGCCTACAACTTATTAAAGTTGTTAAATAATTATAAACAACAAATAAATAATTGACAATCAGGACTGAAATTGATCAGAATTGCCCAAATCCTCTGATTTCAGCCTTTCAAATGTAAAATTTGATGATTTCTGTAGTCCTTCATGAAATTTTTGATTGATTGATTTTGATTATCTCTGTATGTAATCAAACTGAGACATTTGCAAATACTGCTTCTATTTTTGAAAACCATGATCAACATTTTTTCCTATTTTATGACATGTTATGGACCAAACCAGTAATGCAATCATAATCACTTTATGAAAAAAATAAGTCAGTTTAATCTACTGTGCTACAAAAATCATTTGCAGCCATAGCATGAATAACCTGTAATTGATCTAGAGTTGAACTTTAATCCCAGAAGTGTTGCACTTCGCTTTAATCAGTTCCTAAAAAGGGTTTCAAAAACATTGCTGAGTAATTTGTACCTAGTGTGAGATTTTCAATTTTTGTTTATTTTATTTTGCTTACCAGTAATCATTAAACACTACAAAATAAATGGCAATAAACTGTTAGTAAACAGTGATCGGGGAAAAAAAGGAATTCGCAATACGTGTTAATGCAAAATAACTGACCAAATTATATAATTAGCTACTTAAAAAGATTTAGTAGTGACAGCCGTGATTGTTAGGAAGCATTGTGGAAAGATTCCTTTCCATAAAGATGATGAAATTTAGAGAATGACATATACAGTTCAAACATTGGTGTACAATCTCTTCAGCAATATTCATAAAACCAGATTTTTCTGATAATGGTCGATGTTTACTGACTTTAAAATGGCCTGATTGTACCATTCACACATACGTTGAGACATTTCATCAACCTATGCAAACATGCTTTATTTTTGGTATACTCTTCAGGTGCCTGCATCTCCTGGCAGTAGTGCCAGTAGTCTGACAATTGTGACAGCAATCGGCGACTCGGCCAATAGGTGAGTTTTTCTTGTGGGGATCATAATGATTATGATACTGATGGGTATTTATTTCGACTCTGTAAAGCTCCTATCCCACTGAGCGGTGAACAATTACAAGTGTTTTCAAAGGCAGCAAATGTTGCATTCACCTCAGAGTTTATCTTTTTTAAATTGTATTTATTTTTTATATTAAGGTCACAAACGCTTGCCAAACGTTTGCCAGAAGTTCACATGTACTTTTCTTGTCGCAAGGAAACTTGAACAACTTTGGAAATTTTCTAATTTTCCTTACGGCAATTAAAAAAAAAAAAAATGTTGTAGAACATCTGCGACCTTGAACGAACCCTGATCAACTCCGACGTGAGTTTTTCTGCCTTCCAAACAGTTGCAATTATTCACCCCTTAGTGGGATAGGGGCTTAAGGCATTTACCATCTTCTGTTCTTAAGCATGCGATTACATCAAAACATGTTTGAGAGGCATTCAATTTTGTTGTTGCAGAATGATTAACCATTTGAAATGTAGATGTATTTTTGGATTGTAAATGTAACAAGACAAAGGTGGCCTATCGTACAAAATCAGCAGGTTCTTTTCTCACCAAGTTCTCATAGTGTACAAAGAACTATCCTTCAAATGTACTCACAAATACGAGGGAACATTGGTATGTTTTTGTTTTTGGCAGAACTTCTGATGACATTAGTCAGAGTCCTAGCCGGGCAGATAACAGTTTGTCACTTCCGGTTTCCAGTAGCAGTCCAAGACCTGCTTCCACTGTCCTGCCTGGACTGGAGACCATACAGGTATGAGTGGACACTGCCAGCCACTCTTCAATCTGAAAACGTGGTCCAATATGACCAATATTTGCAGTCTTCCTCTCTCCGTCTCTCTCTCTTTCCAGACAGTGGCATCCCCTAGCACTCCAGTTGTGCTGGACAGCCCTCAGGTTCTTGATTCTCAACTCATGCCACCACTTGCCTCCCCAACTAGGGCCCGCTCCCCTGATGTTATCTCCTCAGCCTCCACAGTCATGTCCCAGGACATTCCAGAGATTGCATCCCAGACCCTGCAGCTTCAGCGTGGTCTTGTGTCCACCTTGGACTCTTTACCTCTGTCTGCTCTTCAAGCTGATAGTATGGCCTCTGCTGCTTCTGCCCTTCACTTGCTTACTTCACCACGCTCAGCTAACAGCAACAGGTACCACAGTGAAGTAAAATGTATGCTGTTCTTGAAAGGAAAGTGTCGTATGCTATAATGTGAATTACATTTCATATTACAGTAAGTATTCTCTAGTAAGGAGTCATATTTGCGTTGTCCAATCTTCCCTAATAACAGAATTTACTTATTTGGGATACGACTATGGTACATGCTTTATGAACATGCAAGTATGTGAACAAAAAACACGTGTAACAACACAAGCAATGAAATGCAAAAGTATATGCTACAAACACTGTTTATAACACAAAAACTGCAGTATATAGTACAGGTATATGAACAACATACAGTAGAACAAACAAACTTAGGACTATTTGCTGCAAAATGAGACTAGTAGCAGACCTGGTGGCTTTTCTTTCCACTCACTCACTGTCTCTAACTTTACCTCCCCTTGATCGCCATCCAAGACCACGTTGCTCAGCTGAGATCGTGCAACGAACTTTTAAAGCCAGCCACGGGACGCTTCGAAGTCCTCGATGCCCATAGTTAGCGCAATGGAACTCACTTTCTCTCTCACTAGCGGTTCAGTTAGCGGAAGCTTTTTAGCAAGATAACAGGTAAATCATTCCAGGCTCGACTGTCCGTCGAGCCACAAGAAATTTACTCTGAGCAGCTAATCGGATGCATTCCACTCTCTCTTCCACGGTCACTACTGTTCCTCTTCGTTTGGATGGCACGATCAAAAGGACGTAAATATAGATGAACAAAATAAAAAATCGTTCACTATTCCAGTAAAACTCATGCTAATAGAACGGTCATTACTGTTCCTCTTCGTTTGGATGGCACGGTCAAAAGGACGTAAATATAGATGAACAAAATAAAAAATCGTTCACTATTCCAGTAAAACTCATGCTAATAGAGTCACTTACATGTCGCCGTTTTGGATCCAATGAGAGTAAATAGCGGCGAGTTATTCCGTAGTATCGAGCAGGACTTGTGTTTGCGCCGCTGCGGGCTTCCGAATGGCTTCCAGGTTCCGGGTACTGGAACTTTTGTTGTTGTGAATCGATCGTTCATGTAATATCGTAGTCGAAAT